TTCAATCGGTTCTAAACCGGTTCGGTTCGGTTCCATACCGGTTCCAAACCGGTTCACACGATATAAACCGGTTCTAAACCGGTTTCAACGACTAAAATCTCGAACGGGTGTAAACCGGTGGTTCGGTTCTCAAACCGGTTCGGTTCACTGTGGACCGGTTCAGCGTAAACCGGTCTACCGGTTCTTTGACCGGTTCGGATCTTGAACCGGTTTTTTTGTGCATGCCTATCATATACGATTAAGCATTGATTCTTTTTTTGAACAATAAAGCCCAAAAAAACTTGCACCGGTATTCGACTTTAAGAAATTACTCGCTTATCATGTTTCTTTCTTTCTGGTGGCATCAGTGAGATGGAGTCCAGATAGATAAGATACATGCTTAGTAAGCGTTTGTGGAGTTAAATATGAAAATAATACTAGCTTGTATCCCCAAAATGTTATTTTGAAATCAATGGTTTTGTCTTCTTCAATCACTTCAAATGTACAGAGTCTCCATGAATAAGCTTCGCAAGGTGTTAGCGTTAGGTTCAATTGTAAAGGTGATTGTGGTATGTAAACTTCTTGGACTCCAAAGAAAACCTAGGGCAAAAATTCACAGACTACCCCATTTTCATGGTAAAGCTACTCAAGTCCCCCATTTTCCATTACTTGCTTATGTTGTAGGGTATAAAAGTGGAAATCTTTGTAAATGTTATACTTTTCTATCATGTAGAATGACCCACCATTGCCTAACAAGGAGTAACCGTGCATATTTCCAAAGTCGTATACAATTGCAAGTATCTTGTGCTTTATTGTTAAAAAAGAGTTATGGCTTAATCGTAAATAAAGTTAGAATATATGGACTTTAATGAAGATTTCATTTGCCACATAAGAAAGATGACCGGGTGTCCACCAAATAACAAGATAATTACCCAAACTTGGATATAATTACAAGTTTTTTGGCTTTATTATTCAAAAAAACACAATCGCATTAGCGGCCATTAGTTTCATGTTTCATGGGTAGTTAACACTGTGACTAAGTTATAGTGATTTGAAGTGCATAACTTCACACAAGATGTCCAAAATTCAAATCTAGGCATACAAAAATATTACCTGCGATTTACTTCTACGTGATGATCTTTGGACAGGTTCAACATAGGTTTTCCCTTATTGAATTAAATAGAATTATTCCTTTTAATTATCTGACCAAAATACCCTCATTATATACATACGTACACACACATCCGTTACTGAATCACATTTTATTTTTTACCAACCAGACATACAACAATCATGATTCTTTCATATTCCAATTCATGTATTCTTTTGACATATTTCATTCATTCTACAAACCATACACCCCTTGACAACTTAGCATTAGGTTAGGGGACCAAAATTTTGATTTTTGACCCCATAGGCCATAACCAATTAAGGAAAGGACAATCTAATTACCCTACACCTCGGTTCCTTTCAACGTTTGGCTTATCAATTATCATGCATATCACAACACAACCACTATTTAGTCTCAAAATATACGTAGAAACATCAATTTCTTAACGACACTATGGACCCTTTTACAATAACTAATACAATAAACCACATTGTGATCCTAACCTCCTAATTCTAAACCAATTCATTTTGTCCAAATTATATTTTTGTTTCATTTTTGGAATAATAAACTTTACAAATCTTGGATTCCAATTATGTGAAATGTGGGGGGAAATGATAAAAAGGAAATGGACCTACAACATGCTTATGTGTTTTCATGGTCAATGTGGAGATGTGATCGTTGTATCAGAAATAAACATGGAATTTTACAACAAAAAAATAAATATATAAATAAATGAAATAAGAGACAGCATAGGACTATTTTTTGAAGAACATGCGCATGGACAGAGAAAGTGCACAGAAACTTTTAATTATGGCCATTGGATTGGATTGGATCCGATCATGGGATTGTTCTAGTGATCTTAGGTACTATTATTTACTGCACATTGGGGACATTTTTTGTAACAATGATCAAGTCTTGTTTTTTGTACTATAAAGAATATTTTAGAAACTTTTTTTTTTTTTGTTTAATAAAAGCAAAAGGGTAAAAGTGAAAAATAAAAGAAAATCGTCTATCTTTTTTTCGTGATTAAGAATCGAGCTAATTCAAGATTCGAGAAACAAGAATATTACGGTTGGTTCGTGTTTGTTGATTTCTGTTTTCATTTTTAAATTAAATAAATATTGAAGGAGAAGAAAAATCATTTTATTTTATTTATGTTCTAAAACAAGATCTGGTTACAACTAAAAAATTGTCATTTTCAATTCTAAATTAAGTTAAATGGGTTTACCCGTTTACTCATTTCAACATTTTGGATAGGATTAGCAAGTTGGATTGATTTTTGACGGCTTAAAAAAACATGTTTAAAATAAATAAATACAAAAAAAATTAATTTAAAAAAAATAAATAAACTTTTATGTTTTCGAGTTTAAATCATGTCTTTTTTCTATACCAGAAAAAAACTACAACTTTCCCAAAACAGATTTTAGTAGAAAACCACATAATAAATTTGGGTATTTTTCTCATAAAGTTAAAAAAACATTAAAAAAATATCTTTTTTTGTGATAGGTCAGGAAAATAAAGTCTGAAAGTCTGATGAGAGAACTCAAAAATAAGCTTTGTTTTTCCGCTATATGTTTCCAAAAATACCTCAAGTAATGATTAATGAATTAAATAAAATAAAATTAAAGAGCCTTACAGAATAAATAAAGCAGATATACAAGCACCTGGGCTTTAAATTTTAACCTTTTTCTCTGCATCTAATTTGTACCAAAGTGGGGCCCACAGATTTTCTAATGCTGATCTGTCATCTTCATCTCTCCATTTTTTTTAAAATAAATTTCCTGCACATCTCTTTCAAAACTGTCAGTCTAAATTAACCTCTGAATCCCTCTGCCCATGTTATATCTACCATCAATCATGAATCAACATTGAGTTATTAAAATCACACAGAAAAAGTAGATTCATTTTCTTCTAAATTTTATATATATATATATATATATATATATATATATATATATATGTATATGTATATTTGGTCAAAATTTCCAGATGTGGTCCTCTTTTGCTGCAACCCAATAAAGTATAAGAAATGAAACTCATAATGATTCATTCACATTTCAAGATTTGATCAAATTTGACTAATGAATGAATGTATTCACATTTCAAGATTCTGACCAAGTTTGACCAAAATCAGTATTCAGTACTCCACTTTAAAACAGACCCCTACCCATCTCTTGGATGCAAATGACACCAATTCCATCATATTTCCGAAATTACCCTTTTCACATTAAGAGCCACAAGAAGAAAATTCAGTTATAGAACACAAGTAAAGACTGCATTTCCTTAAAAAACTTCTCACTGATAAGACTTAAAAAGTTAGAAATGTCATTAATGCCCTTACCCCTTATTATACCATGTTAAAAATGTGCCAGAAATTAAATATAAAAAAAAATCAGTGAATATAGGTAGAGAGGTTAAGGGAACCCTATGTAGGGCACAATGGTAAAAAATATGAATTAAGATTTGTAGCAAATAGGATTCTCAATGAGGTCTAAATTGCTAAGGTCTATATTTAGATAATTATGAAACTTTCTAACATTAATGGCATAGAGTGGCATAACTGAAATAAAAATAGCATTATTGCATAAAATAAATTAATAAAAAGAGAATAAATGTGCACAAGATAAGAAAAGGCCATCATATCAACTCCTATAAGTGGAAATTACATATAATAAAATTTACTTTTTTCACTACATAGAATTTTATAGACAAAGTACCCAAAGACATGCTATTAAAAAGCCTATATTGATAAAAGGGTGATATCTAAAATCATTATTAAAAGAAACATCTTATATTTATTGTAGTTGCAAATTTTTATGCAAGATAAGTGAAATTTCAGTAGACAGTTATAATTCCCAAAAGGGTACAGAAATTCAACTCAAGAGCTGCATATTTAAAGTAAATAGCTACAATTGTCAAATAGTTAACTGTTTATTGGCATCTGAAGGTAGTTGCTAATCATCAATGATCAATGTCTACATATAAATTTCTAAAGAGAAAATAATAATTTAGTAAAAAATGTGTGACACATCAACATGTAATTGGGCCATATTCTATAACTCAATCATTTACAGCTCAAAAGGCTAACAATTCTACATGGTGCATTCATATCAACATCATGGGAAGATCAAATAATGCAGAATGGCATCCACTAAGTAGACTACAATGATAGGCCTTGAGAACCCATACTGCAAATGATTGCTAATTTATAATTGAAATATATTCAAGTACTTGTCTGCAGTTGGTTATTGGTATAATGGTTTATTATAGAAATATGTCTAGATTGAGTTGAAAATTGATCAATAGCTGCTTAAAGTATTACTGATAGATAATTTCATTATTACTGATGTGTAAGATTCCACTTTGATTCCTCATTAAAGATCATACACCATCTACTGCATCAATTCCTGAATGCAATAAGCAAATCTTTGAAAGAATGGAGATGGTTTAGTTTAATCTGAGGAAGAGTTTTTCTAAGAATGCAGTTTCCAAACATACACATTGAGCTGGTGAATTTGTAAGTTTATCATCAGTATAAGAGATAGAAAGATCAACAGAACCTGAAGATGTTGTTATCATCATGAAAGATTCAACAAATCACTCAACCAATTCAAATTACTACTACCTACGAATACTATACAACAATGAGATCTCTACAATTTTGTGATGAAAATGTAGCAAATACGATTCCAATGAATTCTCATATGAATTGTACACCATAAAAAACAGAACAGAAATTAGATTTACCACGACAATTTCCTGGAAAGGATCGAGCTAAAAAACTCACAATTCAGGAAGTGAAAGACGAATGACGCATTAAGAACACCCAATCCAGCTCCCGCAGCAACATCAAACACGAAATGCCGTCCAAGCAAAACCCTAGAAACCGACGTAGCAGTTGCCCAAGCTATTACCACACATTTAAACGCTTAACACTCTCAAATTCATCCAATCCTAACATGCCAGACTTCAATTGAAGGAAAATACTTGGGATTAAATCAGAGGAAAGATAAAACAAGGAAGCGGTGAAGCAAACTCTAGAAGCATGGCCGCTGGGGAAGGACCAGTGGTCAACGGCAAAGGTGAGGAACATGTGTTTGTTATAGACGGGGCGGGGGCGGCGAACGAGATGTTTGATGAGACCGATAAGAATAAGATCGAGCAGAGATCCGATGAGAAGGTTAACAAGTAAGGTCAGGAGTAGCGGAGAAGCGGATCGGAGAGGAGAGAGAAGGAGGGAAAGGAGGATAGGGAAGAAGAGACGGCCGTCGCCGGAGATTTCAAGAAGTTTGAGGAAGGGACGAGGCAGGATGGGTTGAGTGAGGTTGTAGAGAGTGAGGGAAACAGCTGTATCAAAGTTGATTAGGTGGCGGAGGAGCGATGTTGACGGTGGTGGTGGCGGCCGCGATGGTTTCTCCATGGCGGATTATTCCGATCGACCGTCTAGACAACAGTTGTTGTGTCAGTTGCGGTTGCCGGCGGAAATTGGATTTTACATTTTAGCATAAACTACATTGGGCTTTAAATTTGTAGGCCCATGAGATTTTTTTTAAGCCCATTAATCTCTACGTCAATCCAAATACTTTTTCAAAAACATAATAAAAAATTTAAACTTGTTCATACAATTAAGAATTCATAAAATCGCCAGGTTTATCAAACTTAACTTGTAATTAAACATATGATCAAGCTTTCAAATACATATTTATAATGTCAAGATACAGAAATCAAGCTATAAAACTAAATACTACATATTAACATACTGTTTCAAAAAAAAAAAAAAAGTAAATTACAGTTTAGGTCCTTGTGGATTACATGGATTCACATTTTTTGTTCAACCTTTGAAAAATAGATAAGACGCGTGCTTGTGGTTTCCGAATCTTCCTGTTTTGGTCCTTGATCCATATAAATAGACAATATTGCATTTCCTAATTTCTTTACTCAATTATAAATTTTGATAACAAAAATAAAAATAAAAAATATACACCACCCGCCCAACCTCAACCCCACCCTCACTCCCTCCCTACCCCCACCACAACCGATCATGTTCATCTCTCTCATTCACCACCGGAAACATCCTCAGAGCTTTAGTCTTCACCGCTGCTTCATCTCTTACCATCATCGATTGACACCTCCATGAGAAAATCGGAGCACATTTATTCCAGTTCGTCTACTCCATCTGGGCTAAAGGAGATCCAATGGCAGTGATCATGGCTAGTGATTTATTCGTTCCTTTGTCATTTGATTCGTCACCTGTAGATATCACATATCCTCCTGCTCCCTTTGATTCATCGGCTTATGATTTCATAGATCCTATGTCTCCCTTTTTAGTGTCTCATCCTCTCTCCCTCTGACGACCTGTAGACATGTCATCTCCCGCCAATTTCTATTTCTAACCCTAGTAACATACCAATGATGACAAATGGATCATCAACTCAAACTCACCTCATACAAACTCAGAAAGTATCATATCCTCGATATTGTATCAGACATGTTCTCCATCGTTGTCATCCTACTCTTCATCGTGGTTCCCCCCCCCCCCCCCACCCCTACCCCATCTTGGTGACTTCGCTGCTTCCTATAGCAACCAAACACTCATATGCTCCACTACGACCAATTTCAAACATCTACCAATACTATGATTTTATGTCAATTAGGAAGAAGAATGAAGAAATAAATATGAAGAATAAATGTGCGATAGAGCAACACTCTTGAACGGGGTGAAAGAAGAACGAGGAGGGAAGAAGAAGGGGAGAGAGACAGTGAGGTTGGGGTAGAGGGTGAGGGGAGGTGGGTGGTTGGTGTATATTTTTTATTTTTTATGATATAAAAATTTATAAGTGAGTAAAAGAAAATAGAAAAAAAGATTAGAAAGAGCAATATAGTCTATTTATATGGATTAAGGACCAAAACTTCAAGATTGGGAAACTATAGGGATACGTCTTGTCCATTTTTCCATGGTTGGACCAAAAGTGTGAATCCACGTAAACCATAGGGACCAAAACTATAATTTACAAAAAAAAAAAAAGATTTCATTACAATACAAGGAAAAGATCATATGTTCTTACAACCAATTGAGGTTCCATATGTATCTTAGTAATCTCGATCTTGCTATGGGTCAACATCTTTGAAAGACACAAAGGACTTTATGTAGTGACGATGTGACACTGCGATCTTGCTATGGGTCAGCATCTTTGAAGATAAGTTATGTGCTCCATTAATATCTCAATGCCTTTAGTTGGATGGTCATGATTTTCATGTGACGATGAAAGGATGACATAAACGTCATAGTTCCTTTTTAAAATACGATTTTCTAGGTTATTTTTGTGGAGATGCTTTTACATTAATATAGAAAAGATGATTATAAATTATATAAACAAGGTCTAATGATTCCTTAGTTATTATATAGTAGCGAGTCAAGTAGAACTTAGGTGGATCTTAGGAGCCACCTAATTTTTAAAATTTATTTACAATTTATATAAACAAGGGCTAATGATTCCTTAGTTATTATATATTTGGGTGTGTGCGCGCTATAGGCAATAGAAGACATCATATTTGGTAGCAAGAAGAAACCAACATCCTTTTCCAAAAAGAAAGTGGTGTGGAGGATTCATTATAAATAACTGTTGCATCTTTCATATTTTAACACCATGAATTTGTTTAGGTCTAGTTTTTGACCGGCTTACTCCAAATTTATGTTGGTTTTAGTAAATAAAAGGAATGACCTTGGATTCGGTCCTCTCACCATCAGTTTTTATACATGTTGAAACTGTTTTTTTTTTCTAATTAAACTGACGTGGTTGAACCCCGTTATAGATCCACGTAGTTTTATATTTTAGATTCCTTATATATATATATATATATATATATATATATATATATATATATATATATATATATATAACCAGCATAATGGTAAAAAGATGGAAACATATACATCAACTTCTTCATTTTCTAGACAAACTATGGGATATGGTTATTAGAGAAAATGGATTTTGGCGCTACTTTGGGCTTTAAAATTATGGGTCAATGATGTCTTGAACTTTAGGCCACTAAGTTTAGGGCCCAACTGCGCTTCACCGGCCCACTTCTCTATTATACTGTCCATCGGTCTATGTATTTGTGAGCATGTTTATATTTCTGGTTACTTTTTCCATGAAAGGCTTTATTTTTTTATATATTTTCTGAACAAATTACAATGTTTTAAGTTAAACTTATAATTCTGAATTTTGATATTACCTTTTGATTTGGCAATTTTAATCTGGCGAAATTATCGAAATAACATGTTTGTTCTCATTTTTGTTAATAAATACACTATGTCTTCAAAAAAGTGTATGATCGGACCTAACCTTCAATCCTCCTTTGAATTTATGTGTGAGCAATTTGAAGCCTTGTCTATCATATTTGAATACTCTTAGCCAAACAATCTGTTGAATCATCAGTTCATGTCCTTATTCAAGAAAATTGAGTCTTTCAACTCGTCTTTTGAATCTCACTATGTCACAATCCAAGAGTTTAATACTATATATATATATATATATATATATATATATATATATATATATATATATATATATATATAGTATACGTATACATATACCAAAATAATGTAGAATAACTTGTCATCTTGATGTAACTTGAAATGTTTTCTTGCCTAAATGAAAATATTCAGAAATACAAAAAGCTAGAAATGCAAAAGTACAAAAAATCTCAAATGAGACATGCATTATTTGTTGGTTATTAGTTATAGTTTTGTCAACATAAAAATTTGAGGGATTGTTAGCCCCATAATTTGTATTAGATTTAATGATGACACTTAGTGATTAAATGTCAATTTAAAAAACTGATCTTCTATAAGTCTACAAGATTTGTCTCGTTAGCAAATCTCATGACATCTATTTTAGATTTTTTTTTATATAGTTCTTTAATTAGAATATGGGTAGTTGGTTTTCTATCACAATCTTTTTTAGTATGTCTAAGCTAATTACAAATTTGACCCTTGAAGGATATGAAGATTATTATTAATGATTTCAATATCCTAATGAAAGAGATAAAGTTAAAGCAAACATGCATGTCTCAAGGTATGGTACATTCCTTTATAAGGACTTTATAAAGTTAAAGCAAACAGACAACCGACAACCTAACAAAATCTGTAAATATCATTAAACTTCATACATTCAAGAATTATTAGTGTATCACACATATCAGTGTAATACAGTCTTTTATTGTATTGTATGTCTGTATATATTGGAGTGTTCATCTCTCAATAAGGACTTCTTTTGAAGATTAACCACATATATGTTACAACAACCAAACAACACACGCAGAGATAAGTAGATTAAAAATCGTAATTGATTGCAAAGAAAAGATGCATTAACCAATAGTGTATATGAATCCACTCATCCACCCACATAAAAAGAATCAAGTCAGAAATCGAGTTTTAGCACCAAAATTTACCACTTGATTGGGACGAAAAAGAGAGTTATGGCCCAAAGAAAGACCCCTCTAATGTACACTTTTTTTTTTTTTTTTTTTTTTCCATAGTACAGGAAAGTTATGATTGTTTAGTTGGCTCAAACTGCGACTCAACAAGTACGTACAATTCCTTCCCATGCGATCTCAATCGCTCCCGACCCTACAACAATTTATTCATATTTATTTCAGTAAATTACACTTTTCGTCCCTCAGTTTAGTTAAGTTTTGCAATTTTAGTTATAGCTTATTTTTGCAATTTTGGTCTTTATTGATGTTCTTGTGACATTTTTGGTCCATATTCTAAACGAAATGACTACGTTTGGTCCCCGAATATAGTTGATTTTTGCAATTTTGGTCCCACAAATTTCTCTTGTAACGTTTTTGGTCCACGTTGCAAATAAAGTGACTATTTTTGGTCCTTTGGTATTGCTGATTTTTGCAATTTTGGTTCTGGAAAAAATTTATTACAATTTTGGTCCTTATTTGAGATTCTTGAACACTTTTGGTCCAAGTTCCAAGTAAAATGACCAATAGTTGATTTTTTTTCAATTTTTGATCCCAAACTTAATAATAATTTTACTTGGAATAGGGACCAAAACAATTACTAAAAACCTGAAATAAGGACCAAAATTACAATAGAAAAACTTTTGGGCCAAAATTGAAAAAACCAGCTACACTCAAAGACCTAAAATGTAGTTATTTTATATATATTTCAAATAATCCAATTTAGATTTATAAAGTCTTGAAGTCATGTGTAGTACCTTCAAGTCTGGTACTTCAATTACACAAGCACACCCCACCACTTCAGCTTCAGCACGCTCTGTGATATTAAAAGAAAAAAAAAATCAAACATGTTCATAAGTATTATTTATTTTATATTTATATATTAAATACTAATAATTATTATCACATATAAATAAATTAATTAATTAATTACCGAGTAAGTTG